GGCTCCATCCCCCTCTCCCACCTCCAGGCCACCCTCAAAGCCCAAGGTACCGAAGTCCGCTTCGGCGACATCCTCCTAATCCGCAGCGGTTTCATGCACAGCTACGCCCAAAAAACCGTTCACGAACTCAGGTCCCTCGCCGCCGCCCAACCACCCTCCTTTTCTGGCGTGGAGCAAAGCGAAGAGGTCCTCAGATGGATATGGGAGAACTTTGCCGCGGTTGCTGGGGACCAGCCGAGTTTTGAGTGCTGGCCGACGCAGCAGCCGTATCTCCTGCATGAAGTCCTCCTGGGCGGATGGGGGTGTCCGATCGGGGAACTATTCGACCTCGAGGCGCTCGCCGCGCATTGTCAGAAGGAACAGCGGTGGAGTTTCTTCGTCACCAGCGAGCCGTGCAATGTACGTCCCCCGTCCCATATCGCATTACTGAGCTAACACGAGGCGCAGGTCCCGGGCGGCGTGGCAAGCCCGCCCAACATGCTGGCCATATTCTAGCTCTAGTCTGCCAACTGTACAAAGAAATTGGATATCCCAATCATTACCCATGCCCCGTAGCCATGCCTATTCCAGCACCGTAAGCCTAACAATATCCCTCTCCTCCCCCTCAACAACCACCCACCCCCCCTCCTGCCCCCTTACAATCTTCCCATCCACACAAACCCGCCTCCACCTCCCATCCCCTCCCTCCTCCTCAAACCCAATCCTCACGGCCTCAACCTCCTCATACGTCACCGCCGAATCATCAACATGCTTCCCCCCCTGATACGCCAACCCCATAATCCGCATAACATCCTCTCCCCCCCTAGGGCCAAAATACACAAGCCTCAACCCGCCCCCCAGCGGCCCACTCGCCGGAGAGATACAAAACCCCTTCTCCAAATGACTCACCAGCGTAACAAGCACATACGCATGCTCCCCCCCGCCCACCTCCCTCCATTTGCCCCCTGTTCTAACCCTTACTTTCCCGCGGTACACATGCGGCCCCCCGCCGTCCGATGGGAACACCGCCTCCCTCGCCGCCATCCCAAACCGCTCCACCCCGTACTTCCGATACTCGGCAGTATCACTATCCGCCACGAGCCCCGCATGCAACCCCCAACTCGCCACCACCGCGCCCCACAGCGCGTGCTCCCCCTCGGTCTCCGGGAGCGCGTCCGCTTGCCGCCCCTCGTGACTCAGCGCTCGCGCACCCGCCGAAAACGTAGCCTTGAACAGCGGGACGCGCTTTCCCGTCCCCCGCGCCAGCACGCTGAGACCGTGCGTCCCGTCGCGCGTCACGCCCGCTGAGTGCGCGAGCGCATTCGCCGTCCCTAACGGAAGAACCGAAATCGTAGGCGGGACGTACGCCGGGCCGTGCGGCGATGCCATGAGCCCGTTGATCAGATCTACTGGCCCGCCGTCGCCGGAGAGGATGACGATGTGTTGCGCCTTGCCGGCGTTGGCGGCGGGGAGGAAGCGGGTTGTTGTAAGTTCGGTGATTGTGTGCGGGGAGGTGGTGCTGTGGACCACAGCGGTGGGGAGAGGGAGGTGTGACAGTAGTGGTGCTAGTAGCGAGGTGTGGAAGGTGTGTGCTTGGCCGGCGCCTGAGAGGACGGATATCACTACGTGTAGCTCGGTCGGTGTGACGGGCGGTGGGCGCGCGGCGTAGGACTTCAGCAATGTATCGGGTAGCTCGGTCGCGGGGACTGAGGTAAGAGTCGGGAGTTCTGCAGGTGCTTCGGCGTCGGGTTTTGGGACGGGTTCTTCGATGGCGAGGATCGTGTACCCGTTCCCATCTTTGGCTGGTACTATCACAACGATGCTGTCTTCTGCGAGGACGCGCTCCCCGTCCGCGGTCGTGTAGGTCAATTCACGGGCCGCGGGGTCGTAAGCCGGCGATGCGGGGCGCGCGAATGCGCGCGGGATGAAGGCGGCGATGAGGGAGAGGGCGGCGCCCATGGTTGCGGACTCGCCGGTAAACTCGAAAGAGTGCGGAATGAGGGGAGGGAAGAAGTCATGATTGTCGTGCTCGTCTTTGTCTAAGATAGCTGCCTTGGGGCTGGGGGGCCTTGAAGTTGCGTGATTAAGGTTATCCGATGACAAACGTGTTGCTGATAAGTCAGCATTGGGGGCCTGAGGCTGAATTTGGACAACACCAAATTTTCCGCTTTGGGATGGGTGGTAGTGACGATAGTGATCAGAACGACTGGCGGTGAGGTCTTACTGAGTTCTCGACGGAGCGTATTACGGCCGGTAACACGGTCCGACCCGCACTGCATAAGATTGATGTTGACGTTGCACAGTTGAATCACCCGCTGCAAGCACCCGCGTCGGGGTTAGCCGAACTTTTCTGATACCTCCATAAGTACATAAAGTCCCTCCTCAATAGCCCGAAAGTCGAGCATCTTCGGACTTCAAAATGGCCAACTCTCCGTCCCCCGCACCGCGGACTCCCACGCGGACTCCCACAAAACTGGCCGACCGCCGCTACGCCCTCCGCGCTCAACTCCGCCCCGCCAACGACTCCACCCTCGACGGCGGCTTCAGGATCTACGTGACACCAGGGGAGATGAAAGACGAATCCCTAACTCCGGGCGACCTGGTCCTCCTCCGCAGCGAAATCACCCACGCCGGCGGCGTCGGCATCGCCTGGCGCTCGACGGACCCCAACGCAGGCGGGCCCAAATCAACCACCGTCCTCAAAGTACACTCTGTGCTCCGCGAGTGCGCCGCCCTGGACCTTAAGGACCGCTACGTTTTGACGAAGTGGAAGGGCCGGTTAAGGCGCGCGAGACGCGTGGTGCTGGTGGATATCACGCCTGATGCGGCGCCGATTGCGGATGAGGACGAGAGGGGGATGCTGGAGCACTGGGCGGGCGTGACACTCCGTAAGCACCCTCCCTTCCTTACCTCCTCAGCCTAACCCCCGGTAGTCCAACTCGAAGCCCTCGGCCCCGGCGGCACCCTCGACGTAACCCCCCGTGCCGGCCCCGACAAGCGCAAAAAACGGCGCTTCGTAATCGCGCACATCGACGTGGCAGACGTAGACGACGACCCGTTCTTCGTCCCCAGCTACTACCACCACCTCTCCAAAGTCGAAATCCGCGCCGCAGCGACAGACACTGGCACCGCGGCGCCGGGGAACGACGCCCGTGTGCCTGTGTCGCTTGATTTTGCAGGACTGAAGGGACTGGATGACCAGCTCGCCACGCTGCGCGAGCACATCGCGCGCGTGAACATGGCGCTTGATTCCCGAGCCACAGATCGGCGCCTCGGGCGACCGAGTGCGATCCTCCTGCACGGGGCGTCAGGTACGGGTAAATCGGCCGTGCTGGCCAAACTCAAAGCTGGGCCCTGGGCGCACATCGTGACCATCGACCGCAAAATTCTCTCTCCCTATGCTGGGAAAGCCGAAACCGCGATCTCGAAACTATTCACCGAAGCCGCGGCTTGCACACCGAGTCTCGTCGTCATCGATCGGCTCGAGGGGCTGGCTGGGAGTAAAGCCGAGTCCACGGCTGTGGCTGAAGAACTTGCGGCGCAGATACAGCGCGTGGAGGGTACGGCTGTGCAGGTCGTTGCTGCGGCGAAGCGGCCGATTGACGTAGATGCCGATCTGCTCAGTGTGTTTCCCATGGTGATCGAGCTGCCGATTCCGAATTCGCGCTCGCGGATGGCAATGTTGCGTGAGTTTACGGATAGTGCGCCGGAGGAGGTGTTGCTTGATGTTGCGGAGCGGACGCATGCGTTCGTCGCCAGTGACCTATTCAGGTTATGCGACAAGGCGTATACACATGCCCAGAAGCGGGTGCGAGAAGGTGGAATCGCGGAAACCATGGTGCGTTCCATGACCGCCATAAGATACCTCTGACACAAGCAGGCCGGTCTAACCCTCAACGACACAATCCAACTAACCGGACCGGACTTCGACCACGCCCTCCTGCACGTCCACCCCTCCGTCATGAACGAAGCCTACATCGAAATCCCCAAGGTCTACTGGCGCGACATCGCCGGCTCCACCGACGTCAAGACCAAACTCTGGGAAACCGTCGAACTCCCCCTCAAACACCCCCGCATAACCTCCCACCTAAACCTGCACCCCTCCGCCGGCATCCTCTTGTACGGTCCCCCAGGCTGCTCCAAAACCCTCACAGCAAAGGCCCTCGCCACCGAGTCAGGCCTAAACTTCCTCTCCATCAAAGGCCCGGAACTCATAACCAAGTACGTCGGCGAATCCGAGTACCGCATCAGAGAACTCTTCCGCCGCGCCCGCTCCGCCGCACCCTCCGTCATTTTCTTCGACGAAATAGACGCGTTAGCACCGGCCCGTGGAGACGGGCACACGGGCCTGAACACCGTCGCCACGCTCCTGACCGAGCTAGACGGCATCGACGCGGTGCCAGGCGTCCTCGTCCTCGCCGCCACCAACCGGCCCGGCGCTATCGATCCTGCCCTCCTACGCCCGGGCCGCCTGGGCACAGCGCTATTCGTCGGCCCGCCAGGCCCCGCAGCACGGCGCCAGATTCTAGAAATGCACACGAAGGCCCGCCACCCGGGCCCGGACGTCGATCTCGATGTGTTGGCGGAGAGAACGGAAGGGTATTCAGGGGCGGATGTTGCCGCCGTGTGTCAGGCGGCGGCGGTGAAGTGTGCTCATGACATGGTGCGGGATGAGGGTGTTGAGATGCTGGGGATGAGGCATTTTGAGGAGGCGTTGGGGGAGTTTAGGCCGAGTCTGGCGAGGGAGGAGGTTGAGCGGTTGAGGAGGTGGAGCGTTGCGGGGGGGTTCAAGGATGTGGAGGATGAGGAAGGATGAGGAAGGATGAGGAAGGATGAGATGTCGTCGAGACTGACACGAGTACTCGATGGAGATTTCGGTGTCTGTGGTTCAAAAAGTATGCCAAAAAAAAGTTCATTGCGGCTCCGGTCCTCAGTCTCTGAACGCCGCGTCCCGCTCCACAGCAATCATCAAACACATCGGCCGCAGCAAAAACTACAAACGCACCACAGGCCGAAAAAAATGGAGGTTGCAAGAATCGAACTCGCGACCTTCCGCAATCTTCAAGATAGAACCTCGAATGCAAAGCGGATGCTCTACCTCTGAGCCAAACCCCCAATGATTGGACAATGTCTTTCCTTTTTAAGAATACATTCCAGATGCTAAGCATCGGGAGCCCGCAGACGTACGTTGAGTATATGTATCCTTGCAGCAGGATGAGATGTCGTGCCTGGCTCCTTGCTGTTCTCGTGTAACCTCCCCGCCTTGATTCCGACGTCGGGATCCTCCTTCCCATCCTACCTCGTGAGGACAATGCACGGACGGCAGTTCAGCCTCGTGGGGCGCTTTTTGTGGGTCAGTCAGTCTCTGCTTCATGCATTGGGAAGAGTACCGCATGAAGCGCCTTTGCCATGCGACTGAAAATACGATGTTCATTCCTTTGTAGTTAGTAGCTCGACCAAAAAGGTTCAGAAGGATTGCTTTGGCATCATGAGGTCGGATGCTGCGGCTGGAAATGACGTCTGTAGAGTAACGCCACGTGATCCCAGCCCTCCGGCCAGCCTTGCCCGTGGCGTGGGCCCGCCCGCAACGTCTTTCGACCTATTTGAAGTCTTGCGGAATGCTGAGAGCTGGACCAGTGCTTGATCTGAAAGCTGTTGGGAAGTCCGTCGATAATGTCAACATGTGTGGATTTGCGAAAAGGGAGTTGATCATCGTTAGCTTATTTTAAATCGGGGGAAGCCAACTCGAACTAGCGACATCGGACTTCTGATGAGGTTGTAGCGTGCGGAAGGAATACCGCCGTGAGATCCCAGCCTTCGTAATCCTATCAGTCCATGAAAGTTGACACCGTTCAAGAAGCCGTACTGGACAGCAACAGTCTGAAGCGTGGGCGCAGTGCTAATGAATTTGACATCAGGAACTCCAACATCCCGCCGCCGATCATGTTTTCGGCCGCCTTTATCTTCCTGTCGGCTAAGAGCCGGAAGAGATCAGACATCATATTACGAAATCGAAGGATGCGACTAAGGAAGCAATGACCAGAACTAGTACCGTATAATCATGGACTAGTGTAGCGCGTGCTTAGACCGGATTTTAAATCCGCCCTACAGTAGGCGATCCTTCACAGGTTCACCGGAATTCGACCGAGTTTCCCCGCAAGCGGGGCTCAAGCCAACGCCAACCGCTTTTAAATAGTAATTAACACAGCAGTTCCCACAAGCCGCATTGCCAAATCTCAGCCTCAACGTAAGTGCTGACCAGTGTCCAAGGGGTATTAATTTTTATCCTAATGCTATGCACAATGACCGGTATCCCTTTCGTGATAGTCTTAGCCGTTCCGTTCAAGATTATGTACAGCCGGATGGCTCGAGAAATAAGCATTATGCACCGAAGAATCCTCCGTCTACTTGTACCAGGCGCTCGCCGGGTCGCCAAGGCAAGCCCCCACAGTCACAGCTATTCGGATTAGCCCATCCCCAAGACACATGCAGTAAGCACTTACGGGTCAAGCCAGCCGCGCGAACAGCGTTAATCTGATCCTGCACCAGCGTCTGGACAGTGTTCTGCAGCGGGTCGTGCTCGAGGGTAATCGAGCCGCCGGACGCCAGGAGGGAGTTGAAGATACCAACGCTGTTGCCAATCGTCTCCGGCGTCTGATACTGCCAGTCCTGAGTATCAATCGACGCGGTGATGACGTGGTACCCGAGGCTGCCGAGAGCAGAGAGCGTATCCCCGGAGTACGCAAAGTACGGCGGGCGCATGTACGTAGGCGCCTTGCCGATGATGCTCCGCAGCGCATCCTCGAGCTGGCTCATCTGCGACGCAATGCCGTTGTAGTCTAGCGTGCTCAGGTCCGCGTGGCCCCATCTGCAGCGTATCAGTTTCACCGCAACTGCATCCTGCGGCATGTGACATACGTGTGGGACGCGACCTGGTGGCCCTCGGAAACCATGCGCTGGATCACGCCGGCATAGTTGTAGATGCTGTCGTAGTTTTGGCCGTTGACGAAAAAGGTCGCCGGGACGCCGTTCGCGGCAAGAATATCGAGCACTTGGCTGGTATAGATGAACGGGCCGTCGTCGAACGCAATGGCAATGGTGCCCGGCACCGTGCACGACGTGATGACGGTGCCGTACGGGACAGCGGACTGGCGCTTCTCGAGGGCGCTGGGGAGGGGCGAAGCGAGCGCAGCGCCTGCAAGCAGGACAGGGAGCAATGTCGTGAGGGACTTCATTTTGATATTGGGATGGAAGCGAATGTAAAGGTACCACTACTGAGCTGCTGCATCGTGGCGACGAGCTGATTATATACCGTCGAGCTCTCCCACTAAAACCAGCCACCCGCGCCGGTGACCTGTAAGCACCAGGTTCAACTGACGCCGGCCGCGGCGCAGACATGCTAGCAGGCTCGGCGTGCTCCTGGACGGCCAGGCTGAAGTGCTATGAAGATGATTCGAGCGCCGCTATGGTAGCTTAAGCTGCGGTCAGGACTCAAACGAATCACTGAAAATGTGGCTGGGAGGGGCGGTTGGAGAGTGGTGGGGAGGCCGGGATCAGAGAAACTTTTGGGACCTGCAAGCCACTGCAAATGCGCATACTTGGCGGCCAGCTAGAGTCCATGGCCATTCGATAGGAAACAAAACTCGACAGACGTCGCCGCTGAGTCAAATAAAAGGCGCAGCGGAATGAGCTCCAAGGCCTGCAGGAACGCACACGTTGGAGGTACGGTATTGGAAGCACTTAGTAACGAGATCTGGTGCGGGGTGAAAGCGGCACTGGGAGGCAGACTCTGCGACTCCGTTGTTGTTTGTTGACCCGCTTCCAAAGGTGCCGAGGACTGTACCCGATGGGGGCGGGAGCGGGGTCGGAGATGCCCGGAAAGAGAGTGATGTCCTTGGTGCTGGATTAATTTAGAATCAAGCATCAACCGGTGGAGGGGAAGCGGAAGGTCAACAAGCTCAACTTTCGGTTCGGCTCTCTTGGACAAGTCGCTTGCTGGGGTCAAGGTCGACGGACACCAGCCACTTGCGCATCCTGGAGGAGCTCATCACCTGATATTGCCTGGCTTCCCCGCAAGCGCCTTGGAAGGTACAATTTAGCACCGAACCACCCGGTGCCGGACTCGAGTTCGGGCCGGTGTAGCATTCTCCTATTATTGTCGCCTGGGGGCCCAAAGAAAGCCATAACGGGTGAATCGGATATTGCGATAGTCGTATTCCAAAGGCTCCCAAGGCCCCTTCAATTTGGAGTCACTCTGCGCTACGAGGAGGATCGTCGAGAGCGGCTGAGCACATTGCGGTACTCGTGGACGTGACAAGCTGCAGGTCGAGGAAAGGTTCCACCCTCGGATACGAAGAGGCTTGACCCCGCATGCAGCTGTGCAACCGACGGCCATGCGCAGGGCAAGCCTCTTGCGTGCTGGCGGTCGGCAACCTGACCTGCAACTTTGTGGAGAAATGTGGAAACGTTGATCATGTCGACATTTTCGAATACGGAGGTACAATTGTTGCTTCCTAATGTACCGCAAGCATTTGTGAGAGCCGTGAGTGACAAGTTCGGGGTCAAAAGTCGAGTCGCCGCTACGTCATGAGAAAAAACGGCCCGTCGGGAATCTGCATACGCCTTGTCAGACCCGCATTAGCAAGAAACTGCCGTACGACTTCGGATGAGGTGCTCGCAGGCCAACGCAAGGTATCAGTTGACGTCCCCCGCTGTGCCATCGCGACATCCTCTCAACTTCGAACGTGCTTGTCCTGGAGCTTTGCAGGAGTGTTGGTGGACGTCTGGTGAGCTGGAGGACAGCACCCGAAAAAAGCATCGCCGATTCGGATCTTCCAGCTGCATGCGCTTAACGAAAGGATGGGCATTCAGCCACGCGGTGATCGCCGATTTTGGCCTTTTCGCGGAGGAGGACGCTTTGCCGAGAGCTGGTAAATGGAGAGCGGAATGTTACCATTTTCGATCGTCCATGCCACGCTGTTCAGTGGGATGCTGTACCCCGCAGTTGTCAATTACTGGACAGCTTCGGCTGAGGTGGGACAGGGCGTTCAGAAGGCGTCTTGAGTGCAGCTGAGAGCGGGGGTGGTCAATTGGACAAGAGTGAAGCGCAAGCAGAGAGAAGGCTGAAATCCTAATATCTGATGGCTCGACCTGGACCTCTGATTTGTTGTAACACCTGCCAACACGACTCTCAGTCCCCTTCTTGAAGGCTCAAGCAATGTTATGTGCCGCAAACGTGTGGAACTGTTCCACCTTCTCCTGGCGAACAGATAATGGAAGGCATCGGCGCCCTGACATGCGCGGTTCAAGATGTTTCCGCGCAGACCTGGCCTTTACCCTGCAGCATTTAACATAGACTCTGTACCAGTCGTAGCGGGACGCGTGGGAGGAGTATAATGGCTTCGCCATTCCGAGGCCTATGTCGAGTATCCAGTCCAGTGATGAGAAACCGAGCGAACTTCCGATTAGGATCGAAACAAGTCACTCCGATACCCGACTTGTTTGACGTGTTGAGAGGTACGGTTCCAGACGTTACAAAGCTTGATCGAAGTCGACTTGAAGTATTAGGACACCCAAGGAAGGAGTATATGGACGAGGCTGTGGATAGTTTGAATGCTTCGGATGCATCAAACGTCGGTCTGAGAGTGAGAAGCATAGCTATAAAGATCTGAGATGCTCCTGGTAAATAGAATCCGCTCTTCACAGGGAAGGAATACACCCCCTTTAAAGCACATCTCATGGCTCCAAAACAAATTGTGCTATTCCAGTGACATCCGGAGTGGCACTCAGATGCCTTCACAGAACGCCATGAGGGTGGAGAAATGATTGGTTCACAGAAGCGGTATCCTTGTTGAAGTACTAAACGGTCAGGTCGATGACGACCATATAGCCATAACCAGCCGTAGACTAATGCATAAACTCGGCTTGAGGTATACCTAAGCGCTGAAGCTAGGCCTAACAAGTGGATTGACGTTTTTTGTCTTGTTGCACGTTGGTATCATTTCATGAGCTCAATGTGCGAGGCAACTACTTTTTCGCGTTGAGGCACCTCCAACGCTATCGATAAGATTAAGGCCACAAGGCGGAAAGAATGAACGCCAAGGCGCTTGCCCTCG